CTACAGTCTCCTTTGAGGGAGTTGTAGAGAGTGATAAGGTCACCCCTGAGCCTCCTCTTCTCCAGGCAACTTAGCTTCCAGCTGGGGTTAAACCGTAAAAGCAAGACTGACATGTTTTATATTTCCCATGCTATGTCAATGTCCATCATAAGCAAAGGAAAAACAAAGGAAAAACATTTTGAAGCATTTCCCATCTTTCATTAGAAACTTTATTATATTAACCTACAGGTATGTGAAGTGAAGTAAATGGTAGTGAGGGGCAGGATGATGAACATCAGTCATCTTTGGAAAATATATATATATTCACAACAAAACACTTTTGTTACAACTAAGGAAAAAAAAGCCAGGCATACTTGACAGGTTTTCTTTGAAGATATATTACAGTTCAGTCATATTAAAGTGAAGTCTTGTGGGCTGGAGATAACAGAGTTAGGTTCAGTGCTCTTGCACTCGTATGAGTGTACCAAATGGCAAGATTTTCTGCACAGTAATTGATAAACATAGACATATTTGTTTTTAGTGATTTAAGATACTATATATACAGCCTTGCATATAAAGCATTTTTTTTCAAAATCAGCTCTGTATTCTTTAGTCTTTAGAGCTTTGGTATAAGAATTATTATTTGGACACTGATAAAAAATTCAACTGTAGTTGCAGTACTTGAAAATCCAATGTATTTTAAATAACTTATTCCCCAGTTTTGATTTCATTTTATCCTAACTTCACTTCAATATGAGCTTGACTTTGCAGATTGTCTCAGCAGAAAGTATGAATACAATGGAATCTTCTTTCCCCTGTAATCTGCATGTGCATCTCCAATTAAAGTTAGTGGAATTTTCTCTGGGTAGATCAAGAAAAGGACAAATTTTACTCGTAACAGTGTATTGTGATTAAAAATCTTTGATATAGTAAAAAGCCTTAAGGTTCATTATGCTTCTAAATGGCCTGAATTAATATGCCTATGGTATTTAAAACCTAAAGTTTATACTCACTACTTGCTTTAAAATCAGCTATTAACTTTGTGCAGCCTTTTTGCACTTGATTAAAACGATGACAAGTTGCTAAGGGATAACTATCTCCATTTTCAATGCTATGTTCCTCACTACTGCAACATGACTACTTAGAGGCAATGCATCTCCTTCCATTCCTGTCTGTGGTGAAGCCAATTCTCTGGGTGTTTGCTGAAATTACTGTATCAGTTTACTCGTTCAGCTTCCCTTACATACAGAATGCATGTTCAGAAATGTCTGAATGCTGTAAAGATCACAGTGAGATCTGCAAAAAGGGCTACCTGAGAGTCATGAGGATTGAGCTGTGGGTCTCCCAGGGTGAGAGCAGAGTGTGCTCCAGAGCAAGCTGTGCAGGAGACAGCAGGAGCTCTCAGGCAAGCCCCGTCTGCTTTTATTCCCCTCTGGAATGTACTTACTCTACAGGCAGTCTGTTTTCTGAGCTTCTACCAATTCGCTGATGTAAATTCACAAGTCATTTCCATGAGCTGTACATACTGCAAACCCAGCTCAGATATATGCAGACACTGCTTATGCTGACTACACAGCAGGAGTTCTACCCACACACAGAATGGCAGAGCTTGGTAATGTGTATATTTAGAACATACACAATAGGCAAAATTATCATAAACTCATCTGTTTTCATGACTATTTGAATATATCTCTTGAGGATATGTGGCATACTGGAAATTTTCAAACAAATACTATTTATTCAGCTCTTCACTCCTCCACATTAATAAGAACTGTTTATATTATGAAGATTAATTTACCTTGTGGTCTCCAAATTTCACACAGACCAAGGAAACAAGCTTTCATGAGCTCACAATTGCTAAATGCAGCATTTGCTATCCACGGCTTCAGAGAAGAAGGTTTTATTTTAAAGTCTGTTTCACACAATACAAACACATGTATATACCAGTAGCTCTACATGTTATCTATACACATACAAACCCAACCAATACTTTGCCTTACAGAGGGATTAACTGGTAACCAGATTTTGAAATCTTCTAGTTAATTTCTGTAGTTGCCAAATCCAAAGATAACACAATTATTTATTCCAAGGATGTGCAAGAAATGTCCAGGGAGTTGCAAATCAGCCAGTGATCATGGCCAGCAAGAACCAAGAATGTTATGGGCATATACACTCTCAGGCTTAGGCGCAGCTGCAGCAAGGTCTTTGGATGCAGATCTCTCATTTATCAACAGTTCAGTGACAAGAAATAAAAGCAAACCGGTGTTCCCATTTCAGTTCTGGGGTTCCTTTTAAAGCAATTTTTCAGAAAGTTTTGTCAGTTTTTCCTCTGTTGCATTTAGTATTCCAAAAGTTGTGATTTTCTCCTGAATATATCAGTGCTGTCACAACAGTAAAAACTCTTTGCCTCAGACTGTACTGCAGTCCAGATGTAAAAGCAGTCATGGCAGTCCCTGTGCTAAGCCAGAGAGCACGTGCACCAAACTCTTCACCTATCCACTGCCCTTCACACTGTTGTAGTATATCACAAGTCTCACGTGCCAAAATGTGACCCCAACACGGTGTGCTGGCTTGGGCTGGGGTAGAGTTAACTTTCTTCTCAGTGACTAGTATGGGGCTGTGTTTTGGGTTTGTGCTGAGCATGGAGTTGATAATGCAGAGATGTGTTTGTTATTGCTGAGTAGAGTTCACACAGAGCCAAGGCCTTTACTGCTTTGTGTACTGCCACACTGGGGAGGAGACTGGGAGGGAATGAGAGGTTGGGAGGGGACACAGCTGGGACGCTTGACCCAAACTGACCAAAGGGATATTCCAGACCGTTTGACATCAGGCTCAGGAACTAGAAAGAGGGGAAGTTTGGAGTGATATGTTTGCCTTCCCAAGTCCTCATTAGATGTGATGGGTCCCTGCTTTCCTGGAGGTGCTGAACACCTCCTGCCCTTGGGAAGCAAGGAATGAATTCCTTGTTTTGCTTTGCTTGTGTGCATGACTTTTGCTTTCCCTATTCAATTGCCTTTATCTCAACGCATGAGTTTTCCACCTTTTACCCTTCCAGTTCTCTCCCCAGTCCTACTGGTGGGCAGTGAGTGAGCAGCTGTGAGGGGCTTGGCTGCTGCTGGGGTTAAACCAGAACACATGGAAAGAAGGGAGGACTAGTGCTTCCCATTATAAATATTGCAACGACCTGTACCCTTTCCCCATCAATCAGGGATACACCAACTCTTGGGACAAGCTGTTTGAGAGGTGCTACAGAGATACTGCCAGGTTAGGGTGGAAAATCCTGCTGGGGTCATGTTCCATCCTTGCTGGCAGGTAGCATCACTGACAGCAGCAGCAGCTGGAAGTAATACTGCCACATCATAGTTAGGTTGCTAAAAGTGACTTCCCACCGAAAGAGAATGTCTAGTCTCTATCAGCTGTTTTATTTCTAGGTTGATGTGTCTGGGGGATGATTTTGCTTCACTGGATGGATGCCTTGGTGAATGTAATGTCCACTGACTTGTGCAGGTCGTAACAGACTGTTTTGGAAGGAGAGAAAGGCTCTTTTGGGATAAAGGCTCTTTTGGAAAGGTGGTCTTCATCCACATATGCAATAGCATAAGCTAAACTTTAAAGAGGAACTGTTTTTTACTTTTCTTCTGCATTCTGTTACTATTCTCAACAAAAACACCTTGATTTTTTTTCCCCAGTTAATGAATTAAGTTTAACTATTACACTAATCACCTCTGATAGACATCAGTATGACATGAATTCTTCCTTTAATCATCTCGCTCTGCCCAGAGGTCCCTTCAACCAGACAAAATAAAGGCCAGTTGGCAAAAAATGCAAAAGAAATGGACACACAGTAGAGTATTTTTGCAATTACAAACTATTTCACTAGAAACACAGACACACAGCGTAAAAATGGAGACAGAAGTTAATGAAGAAGGGGGGGTACATGTGTCACATTATTAGCAATGCAA